TCAAGGTGAATCAAGGTCTAATGTTGTTGACTAAACAGATTCTTCTACTATCAAGCCTCACGCGTTAAGGATCGCAAATGTGAGTTAAACGCGTTCGCGCCCGGTAACCGAAGATATCCACTTAAGCAAACAGGGATATGCTTTGCAAATTTACAGCATTTCAAACACCTGCACATAGAAAAAATATATTAATTTCTCTCATTTCTGATAATATTATTTTTTATAATTATTTATATATAAATGTTCAAAAATAATATATATCATTACAATATACATCATTTAAGTTACTTTTTATAATTTTTATATATTATACCTATATAATATATACACATATATATATAATAACACATATACAGCATACACTATATACTATATATACTATATCACATACATATACACATTATACATATACATACATACAATACATTCATACATATTCATATACACACATATACATACATATATTTATACCATATACAATACCAATATTAACATATTAACATTACATATTATACATACATACAATACATCATATACCATATATATATATTATACTCATACATAATATACATAAACCAAATAATTATATACATAAATATATAATACAAAATACATATATAGAGTATACAATAACCATACATACGCATACATACAATATACAGTATATACATATACATACATTACACATATACATACATATATCACACATACATACACATATACATTTCACACAACAAACATATACACACACACTACATACACATATATATATACATACATACATATATCATATATATATATATGCATACATACAAATATATAGTATGCAGTACATACAATATACATATATAATATATATATACATACAACATACATATATATAACATATACACATATACAACATACAATATACAATATACAATACATATATAAAGACATATACATATACAATACATATAAACACCAAAATAAGATACATATTCATACCTAACCTAAACATACGTACACACACATATACACATATAACCATATACGTATACACACACAGACAGATATATATAATATATATATAAATATATATAATATATATATATATATATTGCACACACACACACACACACACACACACACACACACACACACACACACACACACACATATATATATATAATATATATATATATATATATATATATTACATATATAATATATACATATATACACACATATATAATATAACATACATACATATATGTAAAATATATTATATATTCAAAATAAGAGAGATGACTTCAGCGCGTAGGAAAAACGGTATGAATGGGAAAAAGTCGAGAAACATATTTCTTGTGCAATGAAGACGCTCATTTATACCTCTTCCCACATTCGCCTCAAGGGACATCCCAGTATCTCCCGAGTTCCCATTGATTTCCTGCCCCTCCCACAGACGCATACGCCTCTGCAACCGTCGGGTCGAACCGAACTCCTCGACGCCGCTGCTGCACCACTGCGACCACCTGCAGGCCTGTGACTGCGAGGCCGAGCTGGTGAGGTACTGCAAGTGCCCCGTGTGAAGCCGCTCTCCAACGCCATCTGTCGTCTGTGTTGGAAACCATGCCTCGTGTTGCTGTGCAGATGTCGTGGATGTAGTCTGAGGGATACGTACTTACGCATCACTGCATTTCCCTATTATCATTTTTTGTTATTCTTGTAGGATCCATACACTTAGTTGTAGTTCATGCAGAAAAAACAATTTGTATCAATTTACGGATGGAAATAGTTATTCAAATTACATGGCTATTAACTGTGTTTTATGAAATTTCTACGTCTAATTGTTACGATCATTATGCATGCACCTTTTGTACATAACATGCAATAATGTCAACATTGCAGATTCAGTCACAAGCAATAAAGTGTATTTGCCTCAACATCATTTTACTAAGCCTCGGTTCAGCTACAAAGGAATAATAAGAATGGAATAATAAGGGAATGAAAAGATAAGGCAATAAAAGATAAGGAAAAAGATAAGCCAATAAAAGATAGGGAAAAAGATTAGGCAATAGAAGATAAGGAAAAAGATAAGGCAATAAAGATAAGGAAAAGATAAGGCAATAAAAGATAAGGAAAAAGATAAGGCAATAAAAGATAAGGAAAAAGATAAGGCAATAAAAGATAGGAAAAAATAAGGCAATAAAAGTTAAGCAATAAAATAAGGAAAAAGATAAGGCAAATAGATAAGGCAATAAAAGATAAGGCAAAAAGATAAGGCAATAAAAGATGAGGGATAATAAAATATAAGACAAGGAAAAAAAATAAAGGAATAATGAAACAAGTGAACTAATGTAGATGGATGAAAACGAACCACAAACAAAATTTTGGGAAGTCAACGGAATTGATCAAGTCTGAGTTGGCCATTTTATATACCGAACCCTAAAATAATTGTCTATTTCACGTTGTATCAGAATCGGCCATCCGTTTTTCTTTAATTTCGAATATCGAAGAAAAACGTTTCGCTTATTTGCTCCCACCTTTTAAAACCATATATGTGGTGTGTGACACTCACAGTAAATCCTCATTTTGTTACGTTAACCATTATAAGGGTAATACAGTACCTCATCCACATGTACAAGACATGCCAGATCACATGGCATTTAAATCTTTGTGCCGCGTATGAATGTCGTTTTGGTCAAAATGCGTGCAACTATTCACCACATAAGAAAATTCACAAATAAAAGGAATTTTGAGATAGAAGGAAATATACATTTCATCTGACCTACTAGTCCAGCGGCCGTTACAGAAAGGTCTTCCTAATATACCGCAAAATCTTCGCGCGTCGCATAGAAAAAAAAAAAAAAAAAAAAAAAAAAAAAAAAAAAAAAAAAAAAATATATATATATATATATATACCGGACGAACAAGACGTAGTTTTCAACCCTTGCATATATATATATATACCGGACGAACAAGACGTAGTTTTCAACCCTTGCATATATGGATGAAATATATAACATAAGCAGTAAGAATGGATTAATAGTGTCTAGTATATAACTGCAATAAAAATGGAGATTTGTGTTCAGTATGCACGCACGCACGCACGCACACACATCATTTATGTCATATGTAATATAACCTGGGTGGAAAATAACAGCTTATTAGAAATGAACATACAGTCTGGAAAGGCAAAACCGTCCGATATAAATAGAAAATTGGCTATTTTCGCACCGGATGCAAATGCTTACACATGTAATCTTATCCCAAGTCAGGAAGGCAGTGTTTTCAAAAGGTGATAAGAATAAAAACATTATTGATTAGAATGAGCTCATGCTGAATAAAATCATGCGAAAGTCGGACACAATGGACATGGAAAGAGGTAAGATTTAGAAAAAAACAAAATAACACGGTTTACTGTATGCGTTTATGAGAACACTGCACACATGACAGGATATCGTTTCGTCAAATTACCATTTTTTATATAGAAAACACTTTTATCATGTTTCACCATCAAAGGTCGTATTTAGTTCTTTAGGATAATATAATTCTGAACAATGCAAGGTTTTTTTTTTTATCAAATGTAAGTAACGGCTGCCATCGGCAAGCTGCCCGGCCACTGCAAGGACTAAATAAGATCACGTTATCATCGCTTTAGAATAAAGAATATTGGATCCTGGCCAAAATAAAATACCCAGAAGCGCAACAGAAGAACACCAACTGGTACTCACGGAAATGATGGTTTTAAAACGAAAATAAGGGCTGATAACATTACGCCTTTTAGGTAAAAGAGCAAGACAAGAAAACTGTGGGAAAGTTTGAGACACTTTTGAAACTACAATGCGAGTTGAAATTTAAACGGTTTGTATTTGTAGTATTCTGTTGATATATATTTAATGCATTACAAAGACATTAATTTTTGGTCTTGAAAGCCCTCTGCAATCGGAGATGGACAGAATCACGATGCATGTTCCGGCGACACGCATCGATCGATACTTTTGCACTGGTATCGGCATCGCCTTCGCTACTCGGTGAAAGTATTGTTATTCGCCATTGCTAAGGTGTTTTTCTCAAAATGCAACGAAATATTGATACATCGATGCATTTACGTGACTGTGTCTTGATATGTTCCCTGAGTGCCATGAACGCAACTGATAGTTGCAAGTGTAATTCCTTGATAATCTATATTAGATATAAATATCCACACATGAAGAACATGTTTCAGATGCAATTATTGTCTGCAGTGCAATTTCCATATTAGTTTGGAAAATTTATTCTAATGCATCGGCGACACATGTATTGGTATCGGTATCGCTTCAACTATCTACGAAGAATAAATGTATGGTAGCCTTAGGCTGAAGAGTCCATTTTCAGTATCGATGTATCGGTATCGCCTTAACAATTCTGTGTCTCATGCCCACCATCGTCTTCAAGACTAACTCATTGACTCGAATGTTACCATTACAAATACATTTGTGGAGGGCATTCGGCTTATCAAATGTTAGCGATGTTCCTGTCTTCATGCCTACATTTACTCATACGAAACCTTTACATTCTTTCTTCATTACATGTTACATCCGCACTCAGATTTATAACTAATAGTGAAAAGAAAATATACATAAAGTCTATTTTCCCATATGTGAAAATCTTCCTTTCACACAAACACACAAGGGCTACAGGTCCAAGGACAAGAATTCCCTTAGACTGCATTTGGCTCTCAATTTCTCGTTCACGGTCTGGCTTCTCAAACCTAGCAGTAAATGTGAAATATCGAAAAATAAGAAAAGTAAGCATTATGGTAACATCAGTGAATGAATAGACAGAGATAGAGTAAGATAGACGGATAACACAGACAGATAAATAAGAGAGAGAGAGAGAGAGAGAGAGAGAGAGAGAGAGAGAGAGAGAGAGAGAGAGAGAGAGAGAGAGAGAGAGAGAGAGAGAGAGAGACGTTAGGTTTATTTGTGTGTGTAATAATAGGAGGGTGAATACGAAAAGAGAAAACTCTTTGAGGTAAAATGTTAAGGAATTCACTGGCTTGAAGGAAAGAAAAAAAATCTAGAAAGAAAAGCCAAAGAAAGAAATGGGGGTACATAAAACGACTAATTTTGGTGATTCTGTCAATAAAGAAAATGTCGTTAAAGTTCACGGCACATTCCTAAAAAGGTTATCAAATAAATACCATATTTTCCTTATTCTTTATTCAAGAAGAAAATGAGATAATGGAATATTCTTTGGTAGGAATATAAATAACAAAAGAACTGTGTTAATCGCATATATTTAATTCACACTGAAGAATATCACTCTCTCAGCTTTGTACAAATATTTACACCAGAATTCTAAAACATGATTTATACTTCTAAGACTACTAGCAATAGAAAGTCTTAGTATAACAAACATAATGCCTTTTTTGGATCTTACAAACTACAGAAGAAAAACCTGTTCTTTTTCCTTCAATTCACAACAGGTCAAAATGCAGACGAAACTCACAGAAACTTAAATTATACTGCAATTCTTAATACAGTCATATTATGACCAACAGAATGAACTGACCACTGAAGTATTTTGTCTGTAAAATGTATCTAGTGAATATGATGTGACTAAATGCGAGTCTATGATCATTTCACATAATAGATTTAAGGTACTTCGTTGAATATTTGCATGTGTAGTGATAGAGAACAACATATATATTAGGAAATATATTCTAGACTTGCTATTAAATTTTACATGATCCAAAACGAAAAAATCGAAGTAAAGTGTAATATTGTCAAGTCTTTAATATGTTAACAACAATAATTCATGTCATTTCTTCAAACAGATCCATTCTAGTACACGTGAGAGCGTGTCAGAGCCCTAACTGCACTATATCATGTCGCTCATATTAGTATTACATGCAAATATAGCTCATATATATGTAATGTATGTCTGGATGCTAAGTAATCAGCCTTACAGGACATGTAACGATATAAGTAAAATGGGTTTCAACAACATTATGAGATAGATATTGTTTTCAAGACATTAAGAGTTGATGAGCAGATCAATGGAGATCATTTTCATAATCCATAGCCTAATACTCATTCTGGATGTGAGTGTGTGTGTGTGTGTGTGTGTGTGTGTGTGTGTGTGTGTGTGTGTGTGTGTGTGTGTGTGTGTGTGTGTGTGTGTGTGTGTGTGTGTACATGTATATATTTACAAAAAAAATTGTTTAAAAAATCATAATTATTGCATTTTCATCCTAGATCACTACTTCAGAGAAGATTTAAAAAAGAGAACAACAACAACTGTCTTTTGGACGACACTTCACAGTAGCCAAGAACCACTCCGATCACATCCAGCGGAGCGACTGAAGGACAAAGACAAGAGTGAAAGTGAGTGCAGCCGAGAGCGCCAAGGTGTTCGAGGGGGCGCCGTTTAGCCTGTAGCCAACACTCCTTGAGCCCGCGACACGTGGGGTCAGCCAATTGTTGCTGTCTATATAGTCCTCTGAGCCGTCTGGGGAGAGGTAGTCACGGTGAAAACAGGGGGATCCAAAGCTCAGGAAGGTGTTTATAGCACCCTTTTTAAAAAATAATCACATTTATGTATTCTTTTTTCTGTTTACTCATATATGTGTATATATAAATGTATACATATATATACACATATATATACAAGTACATACATAGTCACCTTTATAATGACTCACATTAACAAACCAAATGTAAACACAAGAGCAGTAACTTTTCCCCATCAGCACATTCCATACATAGAAAAAAAAAAAAAAAAAATCAGCCCATGATCGCTAACGTCCACGGCCACAAACATCACATGAGGTGAAGCAAAATAGGCGAGTAGCAGCAGCGGGAGGAGCAAAGGAGCGTTAGCAAGAAGCGGTCGACGAGACGAACGCAGCCTCTTAGGGTGGTGTTTTGAGGCCATGTCCACTCATCGCCACGTCCAATGCAGTTATTTTTATTAAGGCAGCGGCGGTTCAGTACCACAAGTGGGTTGTTCACTCGTGGTAGTTAGCGTTGCTGCCCCTTTAGCCTGAAACTACCATACAGAAGATATAGTCACCACAGCGCCATCTACTTTGCGTTCAAATTAGCCAAAGGGGGAGACGGAGGGAGGCGGCCACATGAGGCGAGGGAGGAATAACATGCAGGAAAGGGCAAATGTTTAACTATGCGTTAGTAGAAATTGGTTTCCCTTCAATTCTATCTTCTGTATACATATTATCATTACTGCTATTTTTATCATTATTGTTATTATTATCATTATTATTGCTACTATTATTATCACTATTACTATGACTATCACTGTCTTTAATACTGAGAGTAGTTGTATCATTATTAGATAATAGAAAGTTACGACTGTCTTTCCACATTTACTTCGGGATTCACTGGATCCATCTTGACTGAAGACAGAACAAAAATGACAATTATTGAAAGCGAAACACAACCAGCAATTTATAACCCATACACAGGGTACACGTTTATCAACTTGAGCACCAGAGAAACACAAGACTAACACAAATCAAAATGAATCCAGTTTCTTTGTCTTTCCCGAATTACTTGCGTGTCGTAGCAGTGTGGATATATTTTTAAGACTAAAAGAAAACACACAGAATTCAAAGTAGTAGAAGACAAAAGTTATATGTTCGAGGTCGTGTTCTCTATGTACAGTTGTATTATTGTGATGGATAAAGTACATTCTGTGTTTCTATCGTCACAATCATGAAATATTGTGAAACCAGAGGTATATAAAAAGATTAAAAGAGTTACGAGGAAATATATGGGTATCTTCTCTATAAAAATAAATCACGAAAGATAGCTTGAAAATAAAACAGTAACGAGTAAGCATGGCAACAAGATTGTTAATAAATAAAAAAGAAAACACACAAAAAAGTTAGCTTGTTGATTCTCTTGTGTAGTGAAGCCTTGTTCATGACAGGTGTAAATGCAACTATTCGTATAATCACTATATAATAAATACATATTTTTTTTACAAATGTAATTTTTTTTATTTACAGTCGGATTTTTGAATAAACATATTCTGGCAAGTGCTTAGTTTATTTCTATTATCGATAAATCTTATTACGAAAGACTTGCAGCGGATAAAAAGAGATTGAAAAACAGGGAAAATACAAGGGAAAATAATCAACCGCTCTACACATGCAACATAAACATGCTTCACAATATAAGAATGTTGAAATTTCAGGCCAATGAAAAAAGTACTAGACAATGCACCATTAATAAAAGTAATTTGCAGTCTTTTTCCATGACAAAGAAGATGCTTATATAAAGATTAGGAACATGTATGAAAATACAATTAGAATTCAATAAGCACACTGGAAACCCTACTGTATTTCTACCTACCAAGCCTCACTTTAGCATGAAAGGATAAACTTGATTAGATTGCCATATATGAGGTCACGGGGATTTGAAGACATGCGGTGTTGATGAAATTTAATGAATTATAATTATAGAACATGTTAAACCCGAATCAAAGTTGACCTCAGTTGCCGACAATGCAATAATCAAATTAGCATTAAACACACACATACATATACATGCACATATACATAAACATACACATATACACCCAGTACTTATGTATGTGAATATATATATATACATACATTATATATACGTACATATTTATATATGCATATAGCGTATTCCTTAACCCTGACAAGCTGTTTCTTTGCAAAATCTTGCACACGATTCACCAACACTTACCAGCATCGAAAGTGTCATCGTGGGCTTCGTCGGCCAAGGGGTCTGTGGTCCCGGTTTGAGTGGCGTCCATCTGTTAGGAAATACACACTGTAACAACCTCCTTCAACACGTACGGGGTCTTGATAGGATTCATTATGAACAGAAACCTGATCAGACGTGTGACTTTTCCTTATTAATATATGAACAAGACTGAGTACATGTATACAAGTGAAATGGCATACAAAAAACAACGAATATTTCCTATACAGAAAAGAAATAAAAACAAACAAACCTAAAAAAAATCCAGTATATATGAGAAAACACCTGAAATGACACAGGGAAACTAACATAACTCAAAATTCGACACAAGAGCGAAGAACGAACCTGGGAGCCGGAGGCGGGGCAGCCGAACCACCAGTAGCCAGCAGGACGCGGGAAAGCGGGGTCTCCTGAGTCGATCTTGAATCGCCGATCGTTGAATCGCCAGTAGTTACCGTCCTGGAAAGATTTGAATTGATATTTACTATTGTAATTCACTCGCGGGTTGAAAAACTGTTGGGGTAGTTTGAAGCAAATGTAATTCGTGGGAATATGTAAGGTTAATTGTGTTTATTTGTGTGTGTTGGTTCTAGATACGTTTCCAATACATCTCATTTCTGATCTTCATCAGCATTATATGAATAATAAAGGAACACCGGAAACACACAGAAGAGAAGAACATAATCAATGAAACCATACATCTTGAAAAAAAATCCCAACATACACCCAAACTACACCTAAATAAACAAAAGAAAGCGTTATCAATCGAATTCTCTCTCTCTCACGCCTTACCTTGAAGAAGTACGTGTAGCCGTTGGAATACTGAAGGGCGTCGTCGATAGAGTTGGGCAGACCCTCCCAGTTGGAAATGGGCTTGGGGTAGCTCTCCTTCACTGGGGGTCGCTGAGTGGGGTCAAAACGCCAGTACTTTGAACCCTGGGGAGAGAAATTGGAATGATGTTATTGATGAATTAAAATATGTTCAGTAACGTAAAGGGGTATTATTTTTTATCTTTGTAATAGAAATTATTCATTGATTTTAACGTGACATCACATGATATACATGAAAACAAATAAACAAAACATTAAACAACTGAATTAATCGTCAATATCAAATCAAAACATTACAACAACAACAACAACAACAAAAAAAAACACTACAACTAATCAATCGATGCTATCAACCCCTTCAAACGACCCAGTCCCTAACTCATCACCTCCCAACCACCGCCAATTACCTTGAAGAAATAGATCTTTCCGTTTCCTGACCAGACGAAAGCTGCGTCAATGTCGTCGGGAATGCCAGAGAAGCCCTTGCTGATCTGCTTCGGGTAGTCGGCGTCCATGGTCAGGTCGGAGAAGCGCCAGTATTCGCCACCCTGAGAAATGCAAAGGGTTTGTTTAGGGCCGTTACCCTTCAGCGGAATGTGTTTTGCGTTAATGGGGGTTCATGCGATGTCGTTGCCACAGCGATAGAGGAAATTATAAAGTTCTGCAGGTTATTGTTTCCTTTATGACTGTGGGTTTGTTTTATATCGTCTTTGTGAACATGGTTTTAAATTGCATTCACGTTTTATTTGCCGTGATAATATATACGTAAATAAACAATCTAATTTGAAGAATAGTCTAAATATACGTGGTTAATATAAACAGAATATACCCCGTTACCCCCCAAAATATATTTAATATATATATACATATATATATACATACATATATATATATATAATATATATATATATATAATATATATATATATATATATATATATGTGTGTGTGTGTGTGTGTGTGTGTGTATGTATGTATGCATATACGTATATGTAATGTCTCCCTATTCGAAAAAAATAAACATTCAATATTTTCGCTTCGACTACAGATCACACCAGCATCTTCTTACCCTGAAGAAGTACGTCTTGCCGTTGGTCCAGGTAAAGGCAGCGTCGATGTTCGAGGGAAGTCCGTCCCAGTCTTCAGAGATAGACTTCGGGTACCCGCTGTCCACGCCCTTCTCTGTGAGTCTCCAGTAACGCGAGCCTAGTGATAAAAAGTCACATCGTTAAAACCTTCTTTCTTCAATCAGTTATAAAGATAATAATGGTGCTACGTGATGTCAGCACGAATTCCGACTGCAATAAGTCAGTTACAATGTTAACAATAAGTTATCAAGTAATAACAACAATAAGAATTCGAATAGCAACGTGAATCTACGTTTAACCTTGAAAATAAATGGTTCTAGTCAGACATTCCTAATGCAATATATCAGTTACAATGTTAACAATTAAGCTATCAAGTAATAAGTACAACAAGAATTCGAAAAGCAACGTGAATCTATGTTTAACCTTGAAAATAAATTGTTCTGGTCACACGTTCCAATTGCAATAAATCAGTTACAATGTTAACAATTAAGCTATTAAGTAGAACAACAAGAACTCGAATAGCAACGTGAATCCCGACTCATTTACCCTTGAAAACGTAAGTGTTCTGGTCAGACATGGTGACGATGGCGTCGACGGAGGGGTCTCCGCACAACACGCTGCTGGGCTTTCCGGTCACGCCCTCGTCGGTGCCGCCTCCGCCGATGGTGGGAGGGCGGAGGGTGGCCGGGGTGGGCTTGGTGGTCTTCTTGCCGTACAGAGCCTGCAAATGGGGGTTGGAATGAAGGGAAGACCCGGACGAGGTGGTTGGAGGGAAGTCGTCGACAGCGCGGGTGGAGGGATGTTAGGATTTGTGTGGTTGGAGGGAAGTTGTGAAAGGGGTGGGCGGGTTGCGTCCAGGTTCTCGCTTCCTTGTTGTCTTGGGTTTAAAGCGAGGCTGATCATTTTGTCTACTAAGGCTGGCAGCAGGACCACGATCTCTGTCACTTTCCTACAACCGTGTCGGAGTTCAAAGAAAACCTCTAGTGCCCTGATCTTCATTCCCCAAAATCGTGAGTTTAAAAGACTTTGTATTGTATTAAGCTTGGCAGAGAGGATTAGAAGTAAAGTTTTCCGTTCACTTCTTGATTTTTACATTATAGTTCTTGTTTCTTGTCTAGTACATTGTTCAAATCAGCTAGTAATTGATGAAAAATATTGCAACAGAAGCGAGCAACGCCACGATTCTCATTAAATTTGAAATCAAGTTTGGAAATGCCAAAGCAGACATTTCAACCAAACGCACATGAACACGCATAAACTGTGTGCACGAGTACATGTATAATATACACATATACCAGCGTACATAATACACATACTAGTGTAATTTTATACGCGAATACATACATCTATATCCATAAAAATATATCTATGTATATGCAGACGTGTATTACAATGCAGCCAGCGCCGTACCTGGATGCCGTTCAGATCGTCCTGGTCCAGCTCGAAACTGGGCTCGTAGCCGCGGTAGAACGGCGCCATGAGGGAGGAGCGAACGTCGGAGTGAGACAGGCCGAGGGAGTGTCCGAATTCGTGCGCGGCGACTTGGAACATGTTTGTACCTGGAGGAAAGCCGTCATTAGGTTTGTTTAGGGGTTTATTATTGTTGTTCTTTATGTTGCTGTGTGCACTTCATTTCTTGGTTTAATATACGGTATGTTGAGGGAGAAGGACAGAGACAAGGAGAGGAAAGGGACAGGGAGATCGGGAGGGAGAAGTAGAGGTAATGAGAGTGGGAGAGAAAAAGAGGAAGGGGGAAAAACGAAGCAGAGGAAGGAGGAGACAGAAACCGAGCGACAAACAGACCGACTGACAGACAGAGCGAGCAGCCGCCCTCTTACCTCTATAGGAGTCGATCGTCCAAGCCTCCGTGTCGTCGAAGTGGGCGTCTCCACCGTAGATCGGGAAGTAGGCGTGGGCGAGGGTGCCCCCAGGTCCGTCGAAGGGGTCGCCGTCGCCGTGCTCGCCCTTCTCGAAGCGGATCTCGATGTGCACCTTGCCTGACGTCACGGGCGTGAAAGACAGCTCGGTCACGTCGGACCACACCTGAGGAGGATCGAAAAGAGCGCGAATTGTAGTGGCGTTGGAATCACGGGATTTGCTTCATTTTCTTTTTCATTTTATTTTTAATTCCTCTTTTATAACTAGTCTTCATAAGGAATAAATTACGAATATGACAGTAGAGTAAACTAAATTATGTATTATTTTGCCTGGCACATACAGATGTTTTTGTGCTAAAGAAGGCTGTACCACTTTTTGCACGTTTTTGCGCCCAAGTAAAGTGTCGCGTGATCGGTCAAACCGCTTGGATAAGTGAGCTATTATTACATTGCTGCTTATTTTAGACTGTGGGTAATGGAATCATTTGCGGTTCTCCATTGTATTATAAAACATGTGTGCACGCATGTGTGTGTGCACGTACTTGTATCTACGCTTACGTACAAATACCTTTGTGCGTGTATTTGTACCTGTCTATGTGCGTGTATTTGCTCATGTGCGTATCTATGCCGGTGTACGTGACTGTGAATCGGTGAGTAAACGTGTGAGTGCGTGAGTCAGTGCGTAAGGAAACAGGAAACTTGGAGCAAGAACGAGACCGACCTTGAAAGCGGCGGCGATCTCCCTGTCGACCGAAGCTTTGGTGAGGCCGCGCGGGTACTTGGTGATCCTGTAGTTGAGATCCCGCACGCGCCACCTGGAGCCTGCAGGGCGGGAGGGCTCGTTAGCCGTTTTTTTTTTTTTTTTTTTTTTTTTTTTTTTTTTTTTTTGGTGGGGGGGGGAGGTGACTGGGTTTACTAATATTTATTAGAACAGGTGCAGACGTGGATATGTTGCATAAATACACACGGTATATAACATACAGATACAGAGGTAGACGCATTGCATACACTTAGACATACACACAGTCTCTCTCTCTCTCTCTCTCTCTCTCTCTCTCTCTCTCTCTCTCTCTCTCTCTCTCTCTCTCTCTCTCTCTCTCTCTCTCTCCTCTCTTTTTACACTTGATTACAAAGTCAATGATGCATGTTACTAACATCGATCAGGACTATCATGCAACTCTTCCTGACCTTCAGGAAAAGAGCATTTTAGTATAGAAATCAAATAATCCATAAATAGATATATGAAATAAATGACCAGTCCAACTCAATGTTATAAATAAATAAGTAAATAACCCGTCCAACTCTATATTATAAATATATAAATAACCCATCTAACTCAGCCTTATAAACAAACGAACAAATAAACAGATCAATAAATAAAATCAATACAAGTAAACAATAAACACATCCGTTCGAATAAACAGAGAGACCAATAAGAAAAACTGACAGACAGGGAATCAATAACCACATCCACTCGCGTTCCTCTCGTGACAAAACGTACCTTGGAGCGCGTATCTCTTCTTGCGCGCGTCCGAACCGTACCCGACCTTGTCCTTGACGCCGCATCTCGGAGTATTCATCATCTTCACTGTTTCGTCGTCCAGCTCGCCCGTTTGGTTCAGTCCAGCGAAGGCCTGCGAGGGATAGGGAACGTAAGGATAAATAGGATTTTGAAAACAGAAGAGGGATACGGAATGTAACGATAATTAAGAGTTCAAAAAGACGAGGGTTACGGAATGTAACGTTAATAAGATAAAAAAAAAAAAAAAAAATGACGAGGGATACGGAATATAACATTCATAAGATTTTAAAAATGACGAGGGATACGGAATATAATGTTCATAAGATATATATAAAAATGAGAGGGGATACGGAATGATGATAAGTTTGAACAAAAATGACAAGGGATGAGAATGAAGTTTTAAACCACTACCGTTAGGTTTGTTCTTAGAATTATAGAAATTATGTTTGCTGATAAATTGTCCTGTGAGATTAATAAAAGTCGACTTACAAGTAAATGTATATGTCCGTAACGTTTTCTTAAAAAAGTGAACGTAAACAGGTATGTCACATTTTTATAGATATTATATAATTATTACGTTCTTCATTTGAACCAACAAAATCCTCAGAGAAACACAATCGTCATAATTATCTAATGATTTACATTAACAATCCCTGTTTTTGGCTTCAGCGAAAAGGCTGTTTATCCAAAAGGTCTCGTCATATAATGGCCATAAAATCCACTTGGTTAACGAAGCATCAATAGACTTTACGCCGTGAACCATTCCGCGTTCTTAGCTAGAGGTGAATATGCTGATTATTTCCCGAACATTATCTCTTGCATCTATATCATTTCCGGATGCTATTATTAAACTCACCTGGAATTCCTTGACAGCATCCGTGACGGTTTCTTCAGACAAGAGCGCTCCTGACTGTGGGTTGGTCGCTGTCGGGGCCAAGTAGCCAAATCTTGCTAAGTACATCTGTTGAAAAAGAAATTGGGATTAGCTGTTGATCTTATTTTGTCTACATGCAGCATTTCGTAGTATTTTAAAATCTACCCTTCTGTCTACGTATCTCTCCGTCTGTTTACTTGTATGTCTCGCTATATTTTCATGTATATCGCTATCTGTCTATCAGTATGGCAAAATATATATATGTATATACATATATAGAGAGATAGAAAGTAAAATAATTCAAACTCACAAACAAACAAACAAACACACTCAAGAACGCGTTAACACACCCCTCATTACCGCAAACAAACCCTCCCTCCCTCCCCTCTCCCCTTCCCCTACCCCAGGCCACCACAACATTGCCTAGCATTATCGATCGGGCACAAATTCCGCCAAAAAGAAAACTGTCCCATTTCCGACTGGTGGGTGCAAGGTTGCCCGACAGAGCAGCCTGCAAACCGAACAGCCCGATGTATGGTCAGAGCCTCACCGCTTCCGGGAAATGTGTAGGTTGCGAGGCCTTGTACATGATCAGCCATGCACTCAATTATTAATTACGGAGGTAGGGCGAGTACGTACCAACATAAGTACGTGTTTACTCTTCGTCATTCTATTCATCTTGAATTATCTGCCGCATAAAAGGACTGGATGGTATGTGGCGTCTTTGTTTACGAAAGGGCGCGCGGGAATTTCCCAGAAAAATATCGTTATACAAGGGGCACGCCAGGCGACCATACAACATATATATCAAGCTACTGTCAGGGCCTTGTAGGTTGTGCGATGTGAAGTCATGGTTACCGCGTGAGCCTACACAACAAACAGCTTTCATTCTCATCATCGATTCATATTGCTATGTCTGTGCGAATGTTTAACTTTATATATATAGACACACTCAAACACACACATATATGCACACATATAAACACATTCATACACGCACGCAGATACATATACAAACATGTAAATATGAATAGGTAAAGTATGTATGGACAGCACGCTACTATAAAATGCATAACATACTCATCTAAAGACACACAACCACAAATACCTTGAAGATTATGCTCCTTGTAGACATCATTGTCAATAGCAAAGGTCATTATCAGCTAACATTTAATTACTCCCAAGGCATAACATCCGCATTTTTTTGCTAAACGCTTGCCGCAAATTGATAGCAGAGAGCCAGATAGGCAGTCGTATGGTTAGCAGGACGTCCTCGGAAAACCAATAAAGGTTTCATTAACGATTTCCGTAATACAGAGAGTCAGATGCGTGATGGTATTGAGAAAAGTGAAAAGGGCGTAACGTTTCATTCTCTTTTAAATCTGGCAGAATCCGAAAAGGCAATATTTACTTATTGGGACGATGTGAATAAAAAAAGAGAAATATATATATTAGGTGTAATCCAACAAGCCATTGTAAATTTCGTTAAATATTCGAAACAATGTTATCTGCCGTATCACATCACAATCTGTATTTGCATTACAAGCTTAAACCCACGCTCATGTCGACAGCTAACGAAAATAGCACGCAACAAAAAAGCAGTACATCTTTTATAGAAGTTCTTTGCACAATTATTGGTGACCCATTTCCGCAATAATTCGACGTTATGCCTCTCTCGCGTTGAAAAAGAATTGGGTGGAGTTGAAACAAGTAGAATTGTGGATGACTGGGCTGAAGGTGAGACAGAGGACATAGAACCAGGTTGTGTAACAGAGAGAGGAAAGAGAAAGGGTGGAAAGGAAAACCGAGCAACAAGGAATAAAGGAAAGGTCAGAGAGAAAAAAGCAAGAGGAGAACCACGAAGAAAAATTCGGAATCAGAAGAGAGAGAAAAAAAGAAGGGACAGTGAAAAAGAAATAACTTCAGACCGAAGAAAAACAAAGAGAGTGATACGGGTCACAGAACTGAGATAAAATAAAGACCGTATTTTCAAACGGTTATAATATACGGTGGTGGTCTGATAAAACTAATTTTCATTGTTTTAAGTCATACTTCAGAGAGAGGAAATGGCTAACTGTACCGTTTCCGGGGCGGTTACTGTACAAACAGAATAAAACTGGCAGATACGGACAAGTCATACGGTACAGAGTAAGAAGCAGAGTGGACAAAACAAAGAGAGGTCAGAGAGAGGAGAGAGAAGAGGGAGAGAGAGAGAGAGAACAGAGAGAGAGAAAGGAGAGAGAGAAAGGAGAGAGAGAAATGAGAGAGAGAAAGAAAGAAAAGAGAGAGAGGAGAGAGAACGGAGAGAGAGAGAGAAAGAAAGAAAAGAGAGAGAGGAGAGACAGAAGAGAGAGAGAGAGAAAGAGAGAGAAAGAGAGAGAGAGAGAGAGAAAGAGAGAGAGAGAGAGAGAGAGAGAGAGAGTGAGAGAGAGAGAGAGAGAGAGAGAGAGAGAGAGAGAGAGAGAAGAGAGAGAGAGAGAGAGAGAGAGAGAGAGAGAGAGAGAGAGAGAGAGAGAGAGAAGAGAGAGAGAAGAGAGAGAGAAAGGAGAGAGAGAAAAGAGAGAGAGAAAGAAAGAAAAGAGAGAGAGGAGAGACAGAACGGAGAGAGAGAGAGAGAGAGAGAGAGAGAGAGAGAGAGAGAGAGAGAGAGAGAGAGAGAGAGAGAGAGAGAGAGAGAGAGAGAGAGAGAGAGAGGCAAACAGACAACGAGACATAAACAGAGAACCCGGGAGAACGAAAACGAAGAGAACCACAGAACCGAGAGAGGGAGAAAGAGAGAACCAAATGCCAAAGAGCGAACCCGAATCAGCTGATATGGAACCACGTAAAAAAAAAAAAAAAAAAAAAAAAGAAGAAGAGAGAGAGAGAGAGAGAGAGAGAGAGAGAGAGAGAGAGAGAGGAGAGAGAGAGAGAGAGAGAGAGAGAGAGAGAAGAGAGAGAGAGAGAGAGCAACAGACAACGAGACATAAACAGAGAACCCGGGAGAACGAAAACGAAGAGAACCAAAGAACCGGGAGAGGGAGAAAGAGAGAACCAAATGCCAAAGAGCGAACCCGAATCAGCTGATATGGAACCACGTAAAAAAAAAAAAAAAAAAAAAAAAAAGAGAGAGAGAGAAGAGAGAGAAGAGAGAGAGAGAGAGAGAGAGAGAGAGAGAGAAGAGGAGAGAGGAGAGAGAGAGAGAGAGAGAGAGAGATACAGCGGATGGAGCCAATTACGAAGGAGGAAGAGGGAGGTTGCGTCTCGTAAAATTTCCTCGAATAATCTCAAAAACCGTAAAGAAAAGTTTCAAAAATAAGAAGAAAACAGCCATCTTCCAGACCAGAGAAGCAGCAAATTCATTCCAGGTAAGAGACTGAGTTGCATGACATCCTTAAAAAAAGAAATAAAAAAGAAAAAACAAAAAAGGCTCAATTGCTGTCACGTGTCATGTTGCACTGATGTTGCATGCATCCTTTTGACACCACTGGTTTGTTTCGCTGGAACTGTTTGCTGAGTCAGGCTGATCGGATACGTCCGTGGGTGAGTTGCATTTTTCTATATCTTTTAAAGTTTGAGTTTTGATTTTCGTCTTTCGGCTGGCTCCTATATGTTTATGATGCGTGCGTATGTATTCATCCCTTTTTTTCTTTTGGATATGATTTTCTTTATCCAACTACTGATTTGGTATATATTTTGTTACTTTTCTATACTTTTTTTAAAATATGATTTTCTTTATTCATATACTGATTTGGCAGATTTATTGTTTCTTATCTGACGCTTCTTTTTAATTATTCACCTTTCCCCGACAAACAACGGATCTCGGTCAAAATCCCCGCAAGCGTCTTCAAAACATCTCAAATTATATCGCTAGTCGGCAACTCATCCGTGACGTCCAATCCAGGCGCTGACGCCTTCATGCGGGTCGAGCAGTTGTCAGCCGGAGCGGGATGACGTCATGACTCATTCAAGGCAGGCGCGCGTGATTGGTCAGCGACAGGTAGTGACCGTGGTATGTCTCGATGACGTCATGAAACAAACCCGGCGGATGTGAGTATCGGAACTGGGCGCTAAAAGAGAGAGAGAGAGTGGGAGAGAGAGTCATCATGGCGGAGAGGAGATCCGGGTCAGGTAGAGTTTACGCCTCTGCCCGCCAGGTTTGGTTCGGAAGCTGTGGAATAGTGAATGTATACGGCAAACATGATAATCTCTCTCTCTCTCTCTCTCTCTCTCTCTCTCTCTCTCTCTCTCTCTCTCTCTCTCTCTCTCTCTCTCTCTCTCTCTCTCTCTCTCTCTCTCTCTCTCTCTCTCTCCATGTTTGTCTATCCGTCAGGCACATACACACAGAATAGATATACTGTTATCGATAAATAGATAGGTACATGGCAATATAGATAGATAAATAGGTAGCCATGGATATAGATATAGACTTTAAATAGGTCAATAGTTCTAAAGAAAAAGATAGATATAAATGAAAATAGACGGAAAACCACTGGCCACACCCTATTTTTCGAATTAGAGTAAAGAAGAGAGAAAATCTACTCTAATTTCACCCATAATTCAGCTTCGCCCAAACAAAAGTTCCCGGATTTCCTATGAAAAGGGAATCCACTCTATCAAATATTGACAAACCTATGACCACGTGTTACTTGTTTGTTCCGCATACACACATAAACACACATACATACACACCAAACCACACACACACACACACACACACACACAACACACACACACCACACACACACACACACACACACACACACACACACACACACACACACACACACACGTACCCATTTCCCAGAACTCTTGATGAATTAAACAAAAGAACTAAACTTTTGCCCAAGTAAAAAACACAATCTACACCATACTATGTACCATTGGACATTTATTATTCTGTGAGTTCGCTCATTGTTCTTTCATGAACTATCGAGTCCTTGGGTTCGCGGGATTCGGAACAACTTGTACAATTTAAATACAACTGATATATCTAATTTAGGGGGAGGGAGGGAGTGGGAGAGAAGGGGTGGGAGAGGAAGAGGTTGGGGGAGAAGGAAAGGGAGAATGAGAAGGAAAGGAGGAAGGGAGAAGAGAAGGGGAGGGAG